TACCAAATCATCTGGCTACTTCACTGTATTGCACTCATTCTAGACTCTAGAATCTAGAGTATTGTCTGCCTTCAATGTCATAGTACTCTGCATATCACCTGAGCAAAAGGTTTCATTTAGAGTTGAATATCTTGGTGTTATTGATTCCTGGTTTTCTGTTAACCTTTCTTTGGCTATTTACCTCAGATTTCAAAAGCTATAAAACAAAGAATGGCTAACACCACTCCCCCAAAGCCACCAAGGAAGTTTGGTAACAAATGCAAACATCTTTGTGCTTGAAGCACCTGTCTCGGCTCTGCCTCCACAGAGCTGGTGAGCTATAGCTGGTCCAATAGTGCACTCGCGGGCCAAGTAGGATGATTGTAAATTCAAGTATCTGAGCTTCTTTTTTTCAAACTGGTGCTTCATTTCTGTTATAACATATTCATTCTTTGTTTCCTATTCAGCTATCTACTATAGCAAGTCAACTATCTGGAAACATTGTGGCTACCAGTATTCATCCAGACAGTAAAATCCATTTCTAGATTAAGTCAGATCAGCTTAATCTACACACACACACACCCAGTGGTATACTTCATTAGTTCATTATAGAATAATGGTTATGCTTTGGTGTGATGACTTTCTTCTCTACTGAAGGACCATATAAGGATGAATACAGTGAAATTTAGCAGTATGAGCTGAGAAGTTGAAGACCGCATTCATTATATTACACTTTTCCTCTTTCTGAGGTTCTTTCGAGAAGTTCCTGTCTGGGCTTCTCCAGGCTGACTGGTCTGGTTTTATCTTACACACAGAGTGAACTGTTTAACCGACTTCGCTTTCCTCTTTGCAGATGGCTGCTAGAAAGCTTAGAGCCAAATCTTCTTGGCCCCTATCTTCAGAAAATACATGAAACTCCACAGCAGCATTTCCAGTGGGTATTTAGCAGAGCACCAGCTCCTCAAGTGTTGCTGAAAAAAGGGTTGCAAATCAAATAAATTTGGAAAATGTCATGTTCTTGTTGATTCACAATGCACATGGCATATCTAAATTTTGAGAGGTTCTTTAATAAAGATACCTGTTTAAATTTATTTCAACCATGTTCAAACCTTTTGATCTTATACCCCCTTTTTTATGTAACACCCACTAACATCTGGCCTTCCTAGCATTCTGCGGAACCTATTTGATAAATGCTGCTTCCTGGTTTGCATTCCTAGACCCGTGTTACATCTCGACCCCTTTTAAATATCTTCTTATGCTGTGTTGAATTTATATCTTCAATTGCCTGAGATCCTTTCAGAACCAGATGTGACAAAACTTTTCAAATGAATAATAGATAAACATGTTAGCTCTATGACCTTGGGCAAGTGACTTCCACACTCCAGGCCTGTTTCTTGCTAAAGATGTTAGCCATGTTAAACACACATGTAAAACTAAGTGATCCCAGGATTGCTTTCCAGCGCTGCTGTTGTAAGCTTCTATCCTCCCAGCTCCATTACTAGACAGCAAAATCTATTGGAACCAGCCCCTTCTTTGACCCCTTGCATTGAAAAATACCTATACAGCAGTGGTTCTCAACCTTCCTATTGCCACGACCCTTTAATCCAGTTCCTCATGTTGTGGTGACCCCCAACCATAAAATTATTTTCGTTGCTACTTTGTAACTGTAATTTTGCTACTGTTATGTCTTAGGTGACCCCTGTGAAAGGGGTTGAGAACCGCTGCTCTAGAGAAACCCATTCACTTCATTGGCTATTTCCAGTCAGTGTTCTCTTCTCACCTAACCTAAAGGCAGAGTTACATTCAGCCCCCTTAGGAAAACTGCCAGGCTTACAGAGTGGGAGAGGGAGCCAGGGACATGCCGTTGAAGTGAGAGAAAATCAGTAAGTCCAAGTTCTAGAGGTTCTGAGTCCTAGGAAACTCCCTTTCCAAACTCAGGGAAGCCCAGTGGAGGTCACATGAGCAGAGAGAGCGATGGATGGAAAACTCGGCCTTTCCACCCTGAAATGCATCAGTTTGTGTAAACCTGCTGAGAACTCATTGCCAGGCCCCATGCTGGATGCTGATTAACTACAAGGAATAAGACACAGTCCCTGCTCTGAGAGAGCTTGGTCTTCCTGAGAAGAAGGTAAGAACCCTTAGCAAAACATTACAATTTGGAGTAAGTGTACTAAATCAGGAAGCATTTAAGGTACTGGAAATACAGAAATGAATAAGACAGACAATCTCTACCTTGAAGTTCACATTCTAGCTGACATGGTAGGTGTAAATCTTGTTCTGTTAGAGCATAGATAAGGAAGCCACTCCCTTTAGGGAAGCTAAGTACATCTTTTTTGTTTTTAATTTTTTTTTTCTTTATTGATTATAGAAGAGAGAGGGAGAGGGAGAGATAGAAACATCGATGAGTGAGAACATTGATTGGCCGCCCCTACATGCCCCCCACTGGGGATTTGGCCCACGACCTGGGTATGTGCCCTGACTGGGAATCGAACTGGCGACCTCTTGGTGCATGGGTAGACGCTCAACCACTGAGCTGCACCAGCTGGGCAGTAAATCGTCACAGGGGAAGTAATCAAGTTGATCTGGGCTTTGAAACACACACAGAAGTTTGCCAGTGAAAACACTGAAGGGTAGTGCTGACAGAGGGGTGGTATTTGATAGGCAGTTTGGTGTGGCTGAGCAGGATGTTAGAAAAGTGAACGGCAGCAGTAAGAGTGGGAAATGAGTGCAGAGAAGTAGATCCCAATTTAAACAATAGCTATACTGAGGAGCAGGTGGCAGGTAGTCATTGGAGTCATATGTGCTACAGTTGTAGGGGAATTAGGATGTTTGGGGATTTCTTAAAAAATGTATCATAGTAGGTACAATATCATAGCAGCTGATGAAGTATGTTTCCTGAGCACAAGATCCTTGAACTCACATTCCATGCTTTATTATCTATTTACCATGGCTTTCCAGCCTAAACTGGGTTCCAGATCTTTACATCCGACAGACCTACTTGACAGCTAGCTCCAGTTGTTTCAAAAGTGCATGAAACTCAGCAAAATAAAACTAAACCGAACTCATAATCTTCCTGCCAAACCTGGACATAATCTGGTGCTACCACCATCTATTCAAGTGCATACACCAGAAATTATCATCTTTGACACCTGCCCAACTCATATCTCATATAGGACCCATCACCAAATCCCACTGACATTCCTTACTAAATCTCCCTCAAATTCATCCACTTCACATTCTCACCTCTACTGCCCTAGCCAAAGTTGTCCCTTCTCTTACCTGGACAACTGCAACAGTGGTCTCCTACATCACATACTTGTCCCCGACACTGTACACTCCACTCTGGCCAGAGTAATTTTGTTTTGTTTTTTTTTTAGGTTATTACAACGTTGTTGACTATACTTTCTATGCTGCACATTATATCCCCATGATTTATTTTATAACTGGAAATTTATATCTTTTATTCCCCTTCACATTTTCACCCTCCTTTCCATACCCCTAAGACTGGAGACCATAAAATTCCAACACGAAAACACAGTCAATAAACTCTTTGACATAGATCTTAGAAAAATATTTTTTGGATCTATCTCTCCAGGCAAGGCCAACAAAAGTAAAAATAAACAAATAGGACTACATCAAAAAAAAGCTTTCCACAGCAAGAAAAATGATCAAAGGCAACCCAGTGAATGGGAGAAGATATTTCCAAATGATGTATCCAATTAGGGGTTAATATTCAAAATATATAAAGAACTCACATAACTCAACATTTTAAAATCCAATTAAAATGGGCAGAGGACCTGAAGAGACATTTTTCCAGAACAATCTCTTTTTAAATAAAAATCTGTTCATGTCACTCCCAATTAAGGACCATCAATTTCTTATAATGACTCCTTACCATGGTCTACTTGAATGAGCTTTTTCCTGCCACATGTCCAAATTCATATTATGTCACTTTCTCTCTGGTCATCTGCAATCCCATTATGGTGGCCTTTCAGTTCCTGGAATATGCTACACTCAGGGCTTTTGCACCTGCTGTTTTCTCCACTTTTCTTCCTAGTACAGCTCCCATTTATCATTTGAATAACAGCTAAATATCACATCTCAAAAAAAGGAATCTTATTCCCACAGACTAACTCAGATTTCCTGGCAAATGCCCTAAGAGCCCCCACTCTTCATAGCATGTATAATTATACCAACTAATTGTATAATTTGACATTTCATATCTTTTCCCAGGAGAATATAAACCTTATTAGGACAGATGCAGTCAAACCTTGGTTCACGACCAAGTTGTTTATGGTGGGGGGCGGAGGCTGTGATAATGTCTCAGTTATCAAACAAAACTTCCGTTCTCTACCCAATGACCCTTTCATGTATTATTAGTCATGTGTTTCTCAGACAACAAACGAAGGAGAGAATGTGCAAGTATGAGTCAGTTTACCACTAAAACTCCTGTTGTTACATCTCAGGAAATTGTGCTGTGAATATGTTCATGGTTTTTTCTTTTGTTGCCATTTATTATTAAATACATATAGTAAGTCACCATGGTTCCTAAGAAGGTTAGTGATAGCAGCAAAGTAAAAAGGAAAGTTATAAGAACAACGATAGAGCTTAAAAATAATAATAATTGCAAAATAAAAGAGATGTTTGTATGCCTGATCTGGCTACCAAGTATGGCATGATGAAATTGATGATTAGCACAATTTTAGAACATAAAGAGGCCATCAAGAGTACTGATCGTGCTAAGAGTGTGAACGTGTTCACAAAACGGTGATCAAAGGCGACTGAGAAAGGTTAAAACACGGAATCATTTGGTGGTCTGAAACAGATCAATTCAATTTACATTATTTCTAATGGGAAAAAGTGATTCGGTTTTTAAACAAATCGCTTCTTGAACAGTCTTCCAGAACAAATTAAGTTCAAGAATCTAGGTTCCACTGTACTGTGTTTGCTGTTTTACCATTGCATTTTCCAGGTTCTGAACAATGATATATGCTTGTAGCTCTGTAAGTAAGAGTAGGATAAACCCCTGGCAATGGGCAAGGAGACACTTGATTGTTGGTCTTATATCAGTCAGGGGCAAAGCAGACTAGTCCTCATCCTAGCTTGAGGTTTCTATTGGTGGCCAGAGCCGTTTCATGCCTGGGACACATAAAAAAAAAAAAAAGTTGGAAAAGCTGCATTCTTGATGACCATTTTAGAGTGTTACTATGCATGTTTATAGATTTAAAAAACCCAACTATTTAACTTTGCGTAACCCATTATTTTCCAAACTGGCTTTAACTATGGATCTTTCTACTACATAAGTCATTGGCATTTGTTGGATGCCTGTGTTCCCAGAAACACTGCAATACATACCGTGTTGCCTGAACTTCTCTCCTTTCATCCCAAATAGTGTCTCTGATGCCATGTTTTTATGACCTTGTCCCTTTCTAACCACCTGAGAGTTGCGGGCTTGTGAGGTGGTACAGCCTCTGGGAGCTGAGGACACCACTTGGGGAAGACATCATGGGGCCAGAAGCCGAGAAGGAGAAACTGGTCTGCAGGGAGACTGAAGCAGCAATGGGAAGAGAAACACTCGGCCTGGCGCCAGGGCTCCCATACTCAAGTGGGATCAGGCTGGACAACAGGAGAGAGGTGAACTGAAGGGACAATACCCTGTCTGAAGAAAATGAAATTCAGAATTCTTTCAACTAGGAGTTTTCAAAGTGTGATCCCTCAGGATCACCTGGAAAACTGTTAGAAATGCAACTTCCCAAGACCTACCCTAAGACTTACTTATTACAAACTGTGGGGTGGGGCTCAGCAATCAAAGTTTTAATGAGCCCGTCAGGTCATTCTGATGCACATGCACACTCCAGACTGCCAGCCAAACTATAGACACCCAAGGAACAAATCTCCCCCACAGGCTGGAAACTGGTGACCTCTGTTCAAAGCAAGAGAGAGAGATATAGTAGTCATGACTTTTCATGACTTTCAAGACCCCAGTTCCTCATGGTCCCTGATTACCTAAGTCCTAGAGCTATTCCTGCATTTCAATAAATTCCCTCTTTTGCTTAAACTGGTTCAGTGAGGTTTTGTTTCTTCAATCCAAACAAAGATTAAGCTACACCAGTAAAATAAAAATAACAACAAATCAACCAACCTGAGATCCAACTCAAGGCCTGGATCTGCCAAAAATGAGCTGTGAGGCCCTACACCACAATGCCATCACCTACAAATGATGGGCTTGGACTAGGTATCTGAGGTGCCTTCGCTAATACGCTAGAGTAGACATTGGATAATCTCCTCTGGATCATCTCTTGACTATAGAGAACCCCTAAGAAAGATCCCTAATTTTCCTTAGTTTTACCCATTGACTCTAGGTAGTTAAGAGTACCAAAAACAAAATAAAAACCACCCCAACTCTCTTTGTCTTTCTTTCCTGGTCTTTCAAAAGCATTGTCTATTAATTAGAGGGATGCTTTAAGCAAGGTTTATTTGATGTTCTAATTCTTTTTCAATTTAAAAATAAATTTCAGCATATTATAATTAGGCTAACTTTAATTAAGGTTGTCATCTGTCATGAAATGAACACAGAAAATAAACATGCACATTAGACCAAATTATGCTTGCAGAAGAAGTCTTCTTTTGGCAATTATTTTCCTTACAAAAAATATGCGATTCATCCAAAGAATACGAAACAAAGCGGCAAAGTATTTTAAATATTTTAAAGAAGTAAAAAGGTTTCAAGGAAAATGTCCTAAAATCAATAGTACCCTAAAATAAATAGTAAGAATATCCTCTATTAAGCTTCAAAACCCTGCATTATATAACTTCTTAGTTGACAAAGAAGAAAAACTAGAAACTAGTGTTGTTTTGACCCTTAAATTCCCACACCAGCAGACTTTTCTCTGATGTTGAAATGAAAATGGTGACCAAATGCTTTGATGGACAACTCATTACAATGAGAACTGAAGGCTTCTGAAACCAGACAAAGATTTTTCTGTATCTCCCAGATGCCAGGGAAAATAAGGGAAATATTTCAGTCTCTCACCTAAGAATTAACTTTACATATGCACTTTAAAAAATATAAGTACTTCAGATTATTGCGATCAAGGTACAGTTTTTTTAAAGCAAAAAATGTTCTGAAGGCAGGGTGAAGAAAACAATTTTTTGAGAGAAAACAAAAAGAAACAAGGGGGAAGAAATCCTTCAACAGAGTAGAAATTGTGTCTCTCCCTGGGTCCCTGAAAGGTTTTGATCCAACCCTATTTGTTATCCTAGAAAAGCTCTTCTGAAGAAAGGTTTCAGTGTAAGAACTGCTTGAAAGAAGCCAACCCTTTGGAAACAGGAACGGCTCGGCCATTTATTAATGTCAAATATGCTGCCCGCATGAATTAGTCAGCTTGTCTTTTGGAAGCCATACAGAAAAGTTCTCGTGCACCTGCCTCTTAGTGTCTTGACACTTCTGGCTTTGATGACAGCAGTAACCACCACCAGAAAATACGTTTTAAAAAAAATGCTGAGCATAACTACATTCTATCTTCTGAATAGTTGATTCATCCATTTTTAAAGGCTTCTTACTGAAGTATCATCAGTGACCACAGCATATAAAAGCTTGTTCTCATGTTAAAGAAAGCAAAACAGAGTCATTTTCCTAAACTGGCAAAATGGAACCAAATTACCACAAAACTGACCTTAGAAACAAAGAGAAATGAAGCAGAAAAAAGCCAGATTTCTTACTGGCAGTACCACAGTGGCAAATATCCCAGAACTAAGAAAAGCTGCCAAGTAGAAAAGAGAAAATTAAAGGACTTTCCAAAAACTTTCCAAGCCCAGTGCATACAGCATTCCCCACAGCTGGAGTAAGCTTCAGGAGCAACACACAGGTATAAGGTCCAGCCTTATTCTTTATTTACAGCACAGCTCAAAGTCTGTAAATCAAGTACAAAAGAAACGGCTCCTATATCCTGGATTGGCATCGGACATCCTTCCTATCAGCTGCAATTACATCCTTTTTATCTATCCTCTGCTTTTCCTTTGGGGAGGGAAGGGATGGGGAATGACAAATGAGCCAAAGAAACTTGTCTCAAAAGCAAGAGAAATCTCTGCTTGCAGAGAAACAAAGGAAGTGACTCTCCCTCTTGTGAAAGGCAGTCAGGAACTCTGCTCCAGTTAGGAGGGCCACTGGTGGAGAGGGAAAGCTGTCACAAACAGATTCTTCCTGGAAGTGGTGCAAAGATGGAAAGAATCTGGGGTGCAGGATGGCTGTTGTCACCACCATCATTCTCTCTTCTATCTCGACCTTCGCCCCACCAAATCTAATGATAAACAAGGAAAAGTAATTATGTGTAGAAAACCAAGTAAATGGGAATGTGGGTGGAATGAACATAAAAGACACTGAAAACGATCAGACGTTGCTCAGTGCTTCTTTGTCAGACTGGCATAGAAATCTCTGATCCACTTCTTCATGTGTCTAACTTCCATGGAGCGGGCTAACAGCACAGACATGGGATCAAAGGCATTGTTGGCTCGGAGATCTAGATGATGGGCCCCCTCTGCGATGTTGATGGCAACCAAAGTGTCGGTTATGTTCTTGGTTACTCCACCTCCTGACCAGGGATCTAGGTCACCATTGCTAAGTGAGGGGAAAATAGAAAAAATAAGATTGTTAGTTTTTCATATCTATATCCAGATAAGATAGGCGAAAGCTATTTTATGCATAACATCTAAAATTATAAGCTTATAAACTGGGGGATTTGATCTGAGACCTAATCTGTCATATAGAAATGTGATTCATAGTGGAATTTTACAATATTTCTGCAACCAAGTACAAGAAGTAGGACCCAAGTGTGAAGGTGGTACCCCATAAATCAATCCAGATTGTACTGGAAATTGTACTAAATTCCATCCCCAGCCTCATCACTAAAGAGCTATATGACCTTCCTTGTCTGTAAAAGAAAGATAAACAGGCTGACCTCATCAGGTCGTTGCATGGGTTAAACCAGATGGTGCATGTGAATGTATTTAATAAGTACAAGTGTCAGGCACATAGCAGCCCATTAATGCCGGTTTCCTTCTTTCCTAGGATCCAACTATCAAAGTGATTTAAAAAAAACAAACAAAAAAAAACTCTCATATCAGAAATGCTAATTATCGCTTAGCTCTTTTAAAAAAAAACTCATTTTTCATACAATACTTCCCTTGTAGTACTGTGGGAAATAGGGTGACAGAACCGAAAAAAATTCCTCCAAATCCAAACCATAAAATATGGTCATTACTCAAAGATTCCCCATTTTATATTAGCTTTAGAGTTAAGGAAATGCTATTAGGTTATTTTTCTTGGCTGGTTCACACAACACATTTCTGAATGATGTAAACAGGATCAGTCATTGAAACAGGCTATTTAATTTAGCTGAGTAAAATCCAATACAATCACAGACAGCATTCTTAATAATATTTAACAGCTTTTTTTTCTTTTTTCCTCTCCCGAGGACATTTTTCCATTTTTGTTTAGGTAGAGTGGGAGGGAGAGAGAGGAACAGAAAGAGAGAGAGAAACATCGACGTGAAAGGGACACATCGAGTGGCTGCCTCCCACACGACCCCAATTGGGGCCGGGGACAAACCGCATCTGAGGTACGTGCCCTTAGCGGGAACTGAACCCGGGTCTCTCTGGACTGCAGGCCGACGCTCTAACCACTGAGCAAAACCAGGCAGGGCTATTTAACAGCTTTGCTGTGATATATTTCACCACAAAACTTACCCATTTAAAATGTACAATTCAATGGTTTTTAGTAGATTCAGAGTTTTGCAACCTTAACCACAATTTTAGAGCATTTTCATCATCCCATACTCATTGGCAGCCAATAATCCCCATTCCCCTCTCCCAAACCCCCTCACCTCAGCCACAGGCAACCACTAATCTACTTTTTTGTATCTATAGATTTGCCTAATCTGGACATTTCATATAAGTGGAATTATATAATAGGTGGTCTTTTGTGATTGGCTTCTTTCACTGTGGCATAATGTTTTCAGGTTTCATCCATGTCATAGTATATATCAGTACCTTATTCCTTTTTATTGCCAAATAATATTCCATTGTATGACTATGTCACATTTTATGTATCCATTCATCAGACGTACATTTGTGTTGTTTCCACTTTTTTTCTAT